AGTAAACCTGGAAGAAATGGATAAATTCCTGGGCACATGCACCCTCCCAGGCCTAAACCAGGAAGAAGTCGAAACCCTGAATAGATCAATAACAAGGGCTAAAGTTGAGGCAGCAATTAATAGCCTACCAACCAAAAAAAGCCCAGGTCCAGATGGGTTCACAGCAGAATTCTACCAGACATACAAAGAGGAGCTGGTACCACTCCTGAAATTATTCCAAACAATCCAAAAAGAGGGAATCCTTCCCAAATCATTTTATGAGACCAACATCATCCTGATACCAAAATATGGCAGAGACTCAACAAGAAAAGAAAACTTCAGGCCAATACCCATGATGAACGCAGATGCAAAAATCTTCAATAAAATACTGGCAAACCGACTGCAACAGCACATCAACAAGCTTACTTATCCATCATGATCAAATAGGCTTCATCCTGGGGATGCAAGTTTGGTTCAGCATTGGCAAGTCTATAAACGTAATTCACCACATAAACAGAACCAAAGACAAAAACCACATGATTATCTCAATAGATGCAGAGAAGGCCTTTGACAAAATTCAACAGCCCTTTATGCTAAAACCTCTCAATAAACTAGGTATTGACGGAATGTATCTCAAAATAACAAAAGCTATTTACAACAAACCCACAGCCAATATCATACTGAATGGGCAAAAACTGGAAGCATTCCCTTTGAAATCTGGCACTAGACAAGGATGCCCTCTCTCACCACTCCTATTCAATACAGTATTGGAAGTTCTAGCCAGAGCAATAAGGCAAGAAAAAGAAATAAAGGGTATTCAATTAGGAAAGGAGGAAGTCAAATTGTCTCTATATGCAGACGACATGATTGTATATCTAGAAGACCCCATCATCTCAGCCCAAAATCTCCTTAAACTGATAAGCAACTTCAGAAAAATCTCAAGATCAATGTACAGAAATCACAAGCATTCCTATACACCAATAACAGACTTAAAGAGAGCCAAATCAAGAACAAACTGCCATTCACAATTGCTACAAAAAGAATAAAATACCTAGGAATACAACTAACAAAGGATGTAAAGGACCTTTTCAAGGAGAACTACAAACTACTGCTCAAGGAAATAAGAGAGGACACAAACAGATGGAAAAACATTCCATGCTCATGGTTAGGAAGAATCAATATTGTGAAAATGGCCATACTGCCCAAAGTACTTTATAGATTCAATGCTATCCCCATCAAGCTACCTATGACCCTCTTCACAGAACTGGAAAAAACCACCTTAAACTTCATATGGAACGAAAACAGACTGCATAGCCAAGTCAATTCTAAGCAAAAAGAACAAAGCTGGAGGCATCATGCTACCTGACTTCAAACTATACTACAAGGCTGCAGTAATCAAAACAGCATGGTACTGGTACCAAAACAGAGATACAGACCAATGGAACAGAACAGAGGCCTCAGAGGCAACGCCACACATCTACAACCATCTGATCTTTGACGAACCCGATAAAAACAAGCAATGGGAAAAGGATTCCCTGTTTAATAACTGGTGTTGGGAAAACTGGTTAGCAATGTGCAGAAAGCAGAAACTGGACCCCTTCCTGACACCTTACACTAAAATTAACTCCAGATGGATTAAAGACTTAAATATAAAACCTAACACCATAAAAACCCTAGAAGACAACCTAGGCAAAACCATTCAGGACATAGGCATAGGCAAGGACTCCATGAATAAAACACCAAAAGCACTGGCAACAAAAGCCCAAATAGACAAACGGGATCTAATTAAACTCCAGAGCTTATGCACAGCAAAAGAAACAATCATTAGAGTGAACTGGCAACCAACAGAATGGGAAAAAATTTTTGCAATCTACCCATCTGACAAAGGGCTAATATCCAGAATCTACACAGAACTAAAACAGATTTTCTAGAAAAAAAAAACAAAAACAAAAACAAAACCCATTCAAAAGTGGGTGAAGGATATGAACAGATACTTTTCAACAGAAGACATATATGAGGCCAACAAACATATGAAAAAATGCTCATCACTGGTCATTAGAGAAATGCAAATCAAAACCACATTGAGATACCATCTCACGCCAGTTAGAATGGCGATCATTAAAAAATCTGGAGACAACAGTTGCTGGAGAGGATGTGGAGAAATAGGAACACTTTTACACTGTTGGTGGGAGTGCAAATTAGTTAAATCATTGTGGAAGACAGTGTGGCGATTCCTCAAGGATCTAGAAATAGAAATTCCATTTGACCCAGCAATCCCATTACTGGGTATATATCCAAAGGATTATAAATCATTCTATTATAAAGACACATGCATGCATATGTTCATTTTGGCAGTGTTTACAATAGCAAACACCTGGAACAAACCCAAATGTTCATCGATGATAGACTGGACAGGTAAAATGTGGCACATATACACCATGGAATACTATGCAGCCATCAAAAAAGATGAATTTGTGTCCTTTGTAGGGACATGGATGAACCTGGAAACCATCATTCTCAGCAAACTGACACAAGAACAGAAAATCAAACACCACATGTTCTCACTCATAGGCAGGTGTTGAACAATGAGAACACATGGACACAGGGAGGGGAGCATTGCTCACTGGGGTTTGTTGGTGGACTAGGGGAGGGACAGTGGGCAAGGGGAGGGATAACATGGGGAGAAATGCCAGATATAAGTGATGGGGATAGAGGCAGCAAACCACATTGCCATGTATGTACCTATGCAACAATGCACCTATGCAACAAACCAATAATAAAGGTGGTTTTTTTCTGTTATATATATATAAAAGAAATAGTAGTGGAGCTGATGCAGGGCAAGTGAGCCTCGAAATTGAGGCTTTGCCTGGGAGGGTTATTGGCTCTGCTGAGGAAGGAATTCAAGGGCAAACCAGTGGTGTTGGACAGCAATTTTTACTGAAGCAGCAGTGTCTAAGCAGCAGCAGAGGGACTGCTCTTTGTGGAGCCAGGGCACATTATGGGGCAGATTAATTAAGGGGTAGATTATGCAGAAATTTCTTTAAAAGGGGTGGTAGCTTCCAGGTTGTCCTAGAAAGGGGTGGTAACTTCTGTATGTTGCCATGGCACACTGGTGGGCATGTCTTATAGAAAGTTGCTTCTGCCCCATCTCTGTTTTAGCTAGTCCTCAATTTGGTCCAGTATCCAAGCCCTACCTCTGGAATTGAGTCCTGCCTCCTACCTCAGAGTCATGGCAAAAGGACATGGGATCCAATGGAAAGAGCTCCTATGGCCAAAGTTGGAAATATCTTAAAAAATAATAACCTGGTATTTGATTACAAGACAAAGTATTTTTTAAAAATGCATGAGTCTGTCTGGGTGTGGTGGCTCACACCTGTAATCCCAGCACTTTGGGAGGCCAAGGCGGGCAGATCATTAGGTCAGGAGTTCAAGACCAGCCTGACTAACATGGTGAAACCCCATCTCTACTAAAAATACAAAAATGAGCTGGGCATTGTGGCACATACCTGTAATCAAAGCTACTCAGGAGACTGAGGCAGGAGAATCCCTTGAATCCAGGAGGTTCAATGAGCTGAGATCGCACCACTGCACTCCAGCCTGGGCAACTGAGACTCTGTCTCAAAAAAAAAAAAAAAAAGCATGAGTCCATCCTGATATAAGTATATAACTGAATAAATATCAATCATGAGGAAGAATAGACAAATCTCCTGTGCAGAATGGTTCTAACTAATCTACGTAGCCACTCTACCCTCAAGGAGGAGTTTTTTGTTTTTGTTTTTGTTTTCTGGAATGTTTTATTAAGTTAAGAGCTTCAGGGAGCAGGAGAGAAACACCTTTTGCATGGCACAGCCTCAGAGGAGGCTATGGGACCATGAGGGCAGCTGCTGACTCCCTGTCTGGAGCCCCATGGTATGGGCCGTGTGGGGTAGGAAGTGTTAGAAGGAGGTAGGGTAGGAAGAGGGTGGCAGGCTCCCGCCTCTCCCCTGCAAAGACAGCCTGCCATGGCCACTGCCTGGGCCTCTGCCAGACCCCTGGGGCAGGGCCACCAGCCCAGAAGCCCAAGCAGAGGGTGGCTAGGGGCCAGGGTTGGAGGCACACAGCCACCGGGAATTGCTTTTTTCTTTTTTTAAAGTATAAAGTGTTTTGGAAAAAAAATCTATATAAAAATCTCTTCACATATAAAATCCTGAAGAAGGTGCAAGGTAAGATCCAGTGCAAGGGGGGCACGCTCAGATATGCAGAGTGTGTGTGTGGGTGCATGCAGGTGTGTGTGTGTGTGTGTGTGTGTGTTTGTGTGTGTGTGTGGTGGGTGCAAGTGTACATGTGGCCCACAGAGGGTGAGGAGAAACTTGGCTTTGGACTTCCATCCAGCAAGGAAGGAGGGTGGTTGGTCCTTCAGGCTGGAGGCTCTGCAGCTAGGCAGGACCTCTACTCAGCCAAGCTGCTGCACATGGAGTCCTTCTCTTGCAGAGCGGCCATGGCAAGGCGCAGGTGCTCCTTCAGCTGCTTGATCTCCTGTTCTGACCGCATCTTGATATGGCTCAGCTCCATATAGATGTCCTGGTACTTTCCCGAGGTGAAGCACTTATCCTTCTGCATCACCTGGAGCTCATCCTGGAGGCACTGCACCTCCTTCTTCAGGTACTGGAGTTCGTTCTCTTTTACACGAAGCAGCACCTCCAGCTCGCAGGAGCTCTGCTTGTTGCTGTGCCCGCAGCCATTGCCCATGCCCTGTGAGGTGATGAAGCTGCACAGCCAGTCTATCTCCTCTGACAGGCGGGCATGCAGCTCCTGGTGGTGGTGCAGCAGCTCCTGGCCCTCCTGCTGGTAGTGGTGCAAGGTGTGCCAGCACTCTTCGGCATGCTGCATCAGCATCCCAATCTCCAGGCACTTCTGTGAGTACTGCTCCAATAGCACCTGCAGCTCCCGCTTCAGTACCTCCACATCTGACTGGTGTTGCTTCCGGAGGCCATCTGGGCCCTGCTGGAGCCGCCATGTTTTGCTCAGCTGTTGGCTCAGCTCTTCCTGGTGGGCCTCCTTCATCGCTTCAATGGCTGAGGCCGTGGCTGCTGTCTCCTCACCCAGAAGCCACTTCTTCTCCTGCTGTAGCTGCTGCAGCTCCCACTTGTGGTGCCACTACATCTCCTCCATCACCTGCTGGTGCGAGGCCTCCATCTCTGCCAGGCTGCGCTCACATGCCTCCTGTGAGATGTAGCCTGGGGAAATGTGGTCACCCTCTGGGGATCCTGGTGCACTGAGGAGCCTCCCCTTGGACATGCCATGCCTCCAGCTGAGCCCGAAGAGCCCGAACCTCCTTCTCCAGTGCCTCATGGCTGTCACTTTGGGGCCCCTGGCTCTCTCCGTGGCTTTGGCTGAGCAGGGCAGTGAGTGGCACCCAATTATTCTCCCACAAAGGCAGCTTCTCCAGTTCCTGCCACTTCTTCTCAATCTCCTCACTGAGGTGGCTCTGCTGGTTCTCAGTCAGGGGGGCACCCAGGCCCCAGCACGGCCTCTCAGCGGCAGGCACCTCTGGGGCCCTACTATCTGCGGCCTCGAACCACTTGTGCCCCTCCTTGGAGTGCTGGGCCAGGTCCCGCTCCAGCTCCTCCTGCTTGGCCAGGCAGTCAGGAGCACAGGACAGGGTGCGGGCCCACTGGGTAGGCCTGGGTCAGTGGGGAGAGCTCCACGTAGTCCAGGGCCTGCTGCTGCCTATCCACCTTCTGAGGGCCACCCTGCTGATGACCTCAGGGCCCGTCCACTGCTCCCTTGCCTTCAGGGGACCCTTCTGGGTGCCACAGCTGTGCAGCACGTTCTCCTTGTTACAGTCCGAGAGCTTGGTTACATCTGGGGCTGAAGTTGGACGCACGGTCTTTCTCAAAGCCTTAATCCAGTTCTGCCGGATGCCTGATGTCATGGCCAACGAGGCATAGACAACATCCTTGGTGTGTATCTGGAAGCCATAGTTGTGCTGCACTGCGTACTCAGTAACATCTGTACAGGAACGCAGGCTGATCTCACCATCCAGCTCATCTGCCTCCTTGGCAGTGGAGTGTCTGTAATATTTGAGGCTTGAGTCTGTTAGCACAAACCAATGCTTCTTCCACTGCCAAGTAGAGGTGGTGGTGAGCCAGAGGGAGGGAGGCTCTCCAGGCTCATCCAAGATCGACATCCACCCCTTCTTGAAGTTGAGCAGATGGGGCGTCATGGCAGCACCCCAGGACAGCAGGAGGAGGAGGCAGGAAGGTGCATGCGGCTCTCAGGCTGCGCTCCAAGGTGCGGGGATGCCACTGCCACCGCCCCTTGGCCGCCTGCCACCATGCCTCCAGCCCTTCCCTTCCCCAGCACATAACTCCTCACTTCTGAAGTATGGCCTGTGTATAGTGACTTCCTTCTAAAGAGCACAGTGTGGAAAGTGGGGAATGGAGGGAGTAACTTCTCAGTGGGGAAACTAGACAAACAGTGCCAGACGGCCACGTGACCAATGTCAACATCAACAGTGATAAGTCATGCTACCAGCATGTGTCTTGATATGATGGAATGAAAATGCCACTTTACCTCTGTGATCTTCCTCCCAAAACACACAGAATCCCAGTCTAATCATGAGAAAAACATCAGACGAATTCTAATTGAGGGGCATTGTACAAAATACCTGAGCAATACACCTCAAAATTGTCACAGCCGTCAAAACAAGGAAAGTCTGAGAAACTCACAGTCTAGGGGAACCTAAAGAGGCATGATGACTAAATGTTATATATCCTGGATGGGATTCTAGAAAATAAAAGGAAATTAAGTAACAACTAAGGACATGTGAATAAAGTATGGACTTCGGTTAATAACAAGGCATCCATATTGGGATATTAGTTATAACAAATGTGCCATGCCAACATAAGATGTTAATGATATGGTTTGGATCTGTGTGCCCACCAAATCTCATGTTGAAATATCCCCAGTGTTGGAGATGGGGCCTGCTGAGAGGTGATTTGGTCATGAAGACAGATCCCTTATGCCTTAGTGCTGTCATGATGCACCTCATGATGAGGTGCGTGTCCTCCAAAACAATAATTTACTGTTGGAATTGGAATTAGGAATTGGATAGTGAGTGAGGTCTCATGAGATCTGGCTGTTTAAAAGTGTGTGGCACCTCCCCCCAACTCTCTCTCTTGCTCCCACTCTGGCCATGTGAGACGCTGCTTCTACTTCACCGTCCACCATGATTGCAACCTTCCTGAGGCCTCCCCAAAAGCTGAGCAGATGCCAGCACCAAGCTTCTTTGTAAAGCCTGCAGAACTGTAAGCCAATTAAGGCTGCTTTCTTTTTCTTTTTCTTTTCTTTGAGACAGTCCCACTCTATCGCTCAGGCTGGAGGGCAGTGGCGTGATCTTGGCTCACTGCAGCCTCTGCCTCCTGGGTTTAAGCAATTCTCTGCCTCAACCTCCTAAGCTGTTGGGATTATAGGTGCCTGCCATCACACCCAGATAATATTTTTGTATTTTTAGTAGAGACGAGGTCTTACCATCTTGGCCAGGCTTATCTTGAGCTCCTGACCTTGTGATCCGCCACCTCAGCCTCCCAAAGTGCTGGGATTACAAGCATCAGCCTCCACGCCCTGTCAAACCTGTTTTCTTTATAAATTACCCTGCCTCAGGTGTAAATAACAACACAAGAATGGCCTAATACAGTTAATAATCAAGGAAACCAGGCGCTAGGCATTTGTGAACTCTGTACTGTCATCCTAATTTTTTTGTAAATCTAAAAACTGTTCTAAAAAATAACATTTAGGTTGGGTGCAGTGGCTCACACTTGTAATCCCAGCACTTTGGGAGGCCAAGGCAGATGGATCACCTGAGGCCAGGAGTTTGCATTCAGCCTGCCCAACATGGTGAAACCCCATCTCTACTAAAAATACAAAAAATTAGCCGGGCACGGTGGCAGGTTCCTGTAATCCCAGCTACTTGGGAGGCTGAGGCAGAAGGATCACTTGGACCCAGGATAAGGAGGTTGTAGTGAGCCGAGACTGTGCAATTGCACTCCAGCCTGGGCAACAAGAGTGAAACTCTGGCTCAAAAATAAATAGATCAATAATTAAATAAAAATAACATTTAAACAATACTCGTGATTTAAAAAAAAAAAGGCAATCCTGTCATTTGCAACAACATAGATGGAAGAGGAGGACATTACGTGAAGCAAAATAAGCCACACACAGAAAGACGTATTTCTTGTGCTCTCACTCATTTGTGGGAGCTGAAAATTAAAACAATCGGACTCATGGAGATAGAGGACAGAATGACGGTTAGCAGAGGTTGGAAAGCAAAGCGAATGGGCAGGGATGAAGTGGGGATGGATCATGGGTGCAAAAATACAGTTAGATAGAATGAACAGATGTAGTATTTGGTAGCACAAGAGGGTGACTACCATCAACAATAATTTACTGTTGGAATTGGAATTAGGAACCGGAATATTCCTAACACAAGGAAATGATAAATGCTGGGGGTGGCAGATACCTCAATTTCCCTGATTGAATCATGACACATTGTACACCTGTATCAAAAAATTACATGTAAACATCTGCGCCTATTATGTACCCATAATAATAAAAATTTTTAAATTAAGTTTATTTAAAGTGAAAAACAGGCCAGGCATGGTGGCTCATGTCTGTAATCCCAATAGTTTGGGAGGCCAAGGTAGGTGGATTACCTAAGGTCGGGAGTTCAAGACCAGCCTGACCAACATGGAGAAACCTCGTCTCTACTAAAAATGCAAAATTAGTGGGGTGTGGTGACACATGCCTATAATCCCGGCTACTCCAGAGGCTGAGGTAGGAGAATTCGCTTGAACGTGGGAGGCAGAGGTTGTGGTGAGCTGAGATCGCACCATTGCACTCCAGCCTGAACAACAAGAGCGAAACTCCATCTCAAAAATAAATAAATAAAGTGAAAAACACATTCCACTTTCCTAGGTCTTATCTTTGTCAGCAGAATTCCAAGAACAAAGAAATTATAGAACAGAGGCTTTCACTAGAAGGGCAAAAATGTCCTCCTCTCCACATCTAAAGCCTGCTAGGTCCTGCTTCAACATATGTTTACAGGCATTTTCTTGTATAGGATATTGACCAAACTGGTGCATTGATCCAAATCTAGCCACAAGAAACCTAATGGGATAAAGATCCTACATTGATATTTTGGAGTCCAGCAAATACAATGGGAGCTGATGGGTAATCCATAGCTCTTGTGGAAAACATGCTGGGGTTTAGCTGCACTGAGATTTAACAGTGTAAAGAGGTCACTCTTGGGCAGCAGCTCATGGAGCAGACAGGAGCATGGCCAGACAAGATGTCGCCCTGGTCACAGGCACTCCCAGTGAGCCACACTGGGTGTTTCTGGGGTGGTGTTGTGGTTTTGAGTCAGGATCTCACTCTGTCACCTGGCCTGGAGTGCAGTGGTGTGATCGTAGTTCACTGCAGCCTCGAACTCTTGGCCTCGAATGATCCTTCCACCTCAGCCTCCCAAAGTGCTGGAGTTGCAGGCATGAGCCAGCATACTGAGTCATCATTCTGGTCTTGATCATCCTCCCTGGTTTGCTGCTACTCTACCCTTATGCCCCAATAATCCCCATTTTGTGTGTCGGTACTCACCCCAACAGCCTTCCCAGGCTGACAGCCTTTGCTGCCAAACTAAAGGACACTGATAGAATTGCATACTCAAGAGAATAGCTAACATTATTGAGTGCTTATTTTATGCCAGGCGCTATGCTAAATAATTCTCATATATGATCTGATTTTATCCTCTGTCAAAGGATATTTCAATGCCTGAAATCAAAAGCTGAAATTATTGCTAAAGAACAGAGTGATGCTTATGAGCTACAGGGTCTCTGAGCAAAGCAGAGAACAGCATTTATACAAGCATTGAGTTCAGGGACTGGTGCATTTTCAGAAATTGAGGTGTTAGGGGTGAGTTGATATTTAGCTCTGGGAGTGCAGTTATTTAAGTGAAGCAGTTGTTGGTTGGCTGACCTTCAAAAATATTGTCATTCCCTGAGACTATTGTTAGTGGGCTGTTTATAGGAAGTGTGGGTCACCACTGATTATCTTCCTAGTTACTATAGTGAGTTGTCATTGCTCCATTTGTATGGGTTTAAATCAGGCTGGGAGAGGTGGCTCACACCTGTAATCCCAGCACTTTGGGAGGCCGAGGCAGGCGAATCACCTGTGGTCAGGAGTTCCAGACAAGCTTGGCCAATGTGGTGAGACCCTGTCTCTACTAAAAACACAAAAATTAGCTGGGCATGGTGGTACGTGCTTGTAAGCCCAGCTACTCGCGAGGCTGAGGCAGGAGAATTACTTGAACCTGGGAGGTGGAGGTCGCAGTGAGCTGATATCACACCACTGAACTCCAGCCTGGGCAGCAGAGCAAGACTACTTCTCATAAATAAATAAAAAAGTATGCGTTTAAACCTAGATCTGGTAATCGCTTGCTGCTGAAGCCAAAGAATGAGTGGTTTTCTTCCTTTGGAGTAGGGTACCTCTTACTCTCACATCACAGAATACTATCGTGTGGTTGCTATTATTTTCTCCCACCAAAGACTTAGAGAGACCAAGGTTGAAAGAAGGCTAAGTAACTTGTTCAAGTCATACAATTGCAGGATGGGGGCTTAAACCCTTCTCTCTCTGTATCCAAGACTCCTGTCCTTAAGAGCTAAGTTATACTGGGGTGAGGATAAGATGGCAGCAGTATTGCTCTACCCTGCACTCATCATGCCTTGAGTATATGAGATAAGATATTAGTAACCTGGAACATACTCAGAAAACAATGAGGATGAGCAAATGAAAAAAATAGTGCTGTTCAATGTATTAATTAGAGTTCTCCAGAGAAAGAGACCTAGAGGGGATGTATAGGTGACATATAGGTGAAATAGAAATAGAAATAGGCATAGGCGTATATGTAGATATACATATAGAGAGACATTTAGTTTAAGGAATTGGCTTACGAAGTCATTGAAACTGGCAAGTCTGAATATGCAGGGCAGGCCAGCAAGCTGGACATTCCAGTGAGTCATGGTTTCAGTGTTGGGTCCAAATTCTGGAGGGCAGTAGGCTGGAAATGGGGGCAAGTTTTCTATGTTGCTATCTGAGAATTCCTCCTTCTCCGGGAAACCTCAGTCTTTACTCTTAATAAGGTCTTCAGCTGAGTGGGTTGGATAAGCCCCATCCACATTATGGAGGATAATTTGCTTTACTCAGAATCAGCAAAATTGAAATAGCATAATTTAAGATTAGACAAGATTATGCATATAAAAAGCTAAACACATTCCATATGGAGAAGAAAGAGGACTAATAATATCCAAGGCCAATATATTTCAGACTTTATCTCTACTCCTCCGTATGATAAGTTGACCATAGTAATCTGTAACTCTTATTCCACCCAGTTATTCAGTGGCTGACATTTTCCTACCCGCTGTACTACTGATGGAAAATACTCACGATTGTCAGCTGTGGCCATAAGTCCCTAAAGATTCAATTCTCTGATGAGGTCAGCTTGCCCTGAGTCTGTGAAATGTTACACCAGACATCTGCTGAATTTGAAGAGAGTACGAAGCAGTGACAGAATAATAAAAATTATCACTGACCTGTATCAGTTGTGCAAATGCCAGGAAAATCATTTCAAGGTGATTTCTCAGGTATCTGTAAAAATGGTTGCTCACTGATAACATCTTTCACTCCAACTTGAATATCTAGAGTATTCCTTGGACTTTAAATATAAAAGTTTTTCTCAAAAATATAAATAAGTAAGTCTATTTTAAATAATCCAGCAAAGACTGGACAAATAAAATTTTAATTCCCACGGTTACTTCTTACTTTTTAAATGTTATCCAAGAGGATTTCTAAATTTAGTAAGAAATCCATTCTAAAATGTAGACATGGAATCAAGGATAAATTTACCTTTTTTTTATTTTTCCGAGACAGAGTTTCACTCTTGTTGCCCAGGCTGGGGGGGAGGTTGAGGGTAGGGGGTTGGGGGACCAGGGTTAAGGGGGTGGGAAAGACTTTGAGGATGAGGGTTGGGGGAGGTTAAGGGTAGGGGGTTGGGGTGGGAGGGAGGTTAAGGGTGAGGGGTGGGAAGTGGGGGTGGGAAGGAGGTTGAGGGTGGGGCGCTGGGGAGTGGGAGGGAGTTTGAGGGTGGGGGGTGGGAGGTAGGTTCAGGATGGGGGTGTGGGAGGGAGGTTGGGGGGACAGGAGGGAGGATGGGGAAAGGTGGGTTTGGGGAAGTTGGGAGGGTGGGGAAGCAT